AGTTGGCACCATCATTGCGCTCTTCCCGGGCGAGGCAGATCAGTCGCTGGCTTCTGGACGGCCGCTCACGGCAGCTTGAGGGCCACTCACGCTGGCTGCTGGCTACACACGGTAGCCCATGGCAACCCACTGCCACAGGGGCTGCAGCCTACACCATCACCGGCAACTCACAGCAGCCCAGCTCCAGGTTGAGCTGTTGTTCAGCATCTTAGCTGTGGAGGGCAGTGTCACTGGGCCCTCATATGTGGGATCCGAACCGGGGCCCTCTGGCGTCCCAAGCCAGTTCTTAACCAACGCGCCACTCGGCTGGCCCTCCTTTTTTCTTATATGTAGAATTGACAAGCTGATTCTAAAATTTATATGGAATTTCAAGGGATCCAGAATGCCAAGATAATCTTGAAAAAGAAAAATTAGGAGGACTCACATTTTCTGATTTCAAAACTTACTACAAAGCAATGATACTGACATAAGGATAGCCATATAGACCAATGGAATAGAATCGAGAAGTCAGAAATAAAACCATGTGTCTAACATTAACTGATTTTCCACAAGGGTGCCAAGACCACCCAATGGGGGAAAGAATAGTCTTTTCAACAAATAGTGCTGTGACAACTGGATATCTACCTGCAGAAGAATAAAGTTTGACTCTTACCTTATGCTGTACATAAAAATTAACTAAAAATGTATCAAAGATCTAAATGCAAGAACAAAAGCTATAAAACTATTAGAAGAAAACATAGGGCCAAATCTTCATGATCTTGGATTTGGCAAAGGATTCTTAGATAATACAACCAAAAGCACAAGCAACACAAGAAAGAAAGGATAAATTAGACTCCACAGAATTAAAAACTATTGTGCAGGACACTATTGAGAAAGTGAAAAGACAACCCACAGATTGAGAGAACATGTTTATACATCATATATCTGATATGAGATATGGAACTTGTATCTAGAATACATAAAGAACTCTTAGAGCTGGCCAAGTGGCTCATTGGCTAAGAGTTGGCTTGGGAACACGAGCTCTGAGCAGCAGAGCCACCGGTTTGGATCCCACATGGGCCAGTGACGCTGCACCCTCTACAATTAAGATGGTGAATACAGCTCCACCTGGAGCTGGGCTGCGGTGAGTCGCCAGTGACGCTAGGCTGCAGTGGGGCTGCAGTGGGCTGCCGGGAGCTACCGTGAGTGGCCGGCAGCCAGTGTGAGCTTCCGTGAGCTGCTGTCCAGAGGCCGGCGACCGATCTGCCTCATCTGGGAAGAGCGCAATGATCACAATACCAACATGAACCAGTGAAGCGACGTCCTCCACAGCTAGACTGAAGAACCAAAGGACAGCAACTTGTCTGTTCCCACTGCCCGATTCCCCAGTAAAATCTTTAAAAAAAAAAAAGAAAGAAAAAAAGAACTCTTAAAACTCTATTTAAAAAGATAAATAACCCAAGGATGACATACAAAAGACCAATAAGCATTACACAAAAAGATTCTCATCAGGGACATGCAAATCAAAACCACAATTAGATAGATACTACTTCACACACACTAGAATGGCTGAATCCCAAAGTCAATAATAAGGGTTGGTGAAGATGTGGAGAAATCAGAACCCTCATACACTGCTTGTGGGAATGTAAAATAATGCAGTCACTTTGGAAAATAGTCTGGCAGTTCCTCAGTTAAACAGAGTTACCATATGACCCAGCAATTACACTCCTAAGTATATACAAAAGAGAAATGGAAGCATATATCTACAGGAAAACCTGCACACAGAAGTTTTTTGTTTTTTTGCCTTTTTAAAAGATTTATTGGGGAATTGGGGGAGGGGAACAGACAAGTTGCTGTCCTTTTGTTCTTCAGTCTAGTTGTGGAGGACGTCGCTTCATTGGCCCATGTTGGCACCATCATTGCACTCTTCCCAGGTGAGGCAGTTGCTCGCCGCCCATTGGATGGCCGCTCACAGCAGCTCACGCTGGCTACTGGCCACTCATGGTAGCTTATGGTAGCCCACTGCAGCCTATGCCGTCGCTGGCGACTCACAGCTGCCCAGCTCCAGGTCGAGCTGTTGTTCACCATCTTAGCTGTAGAGGGCAATGTCACTGGCCCTCATGTAGGATCCGAACCAGGGCCCTGCTGCTCAGAGCTGGTGTCCCAAGCCAACTCCTAACCAATGTGCCACTCAGCCGGCCCTGCACACAAATGTATAAAACAGCACTGTTCATGATAGCTAAAAGGTGTAAACAACCCAAATGTCCATCAACTGATGACAAAATAAACAAAAGTGGCATATCCATACAAAGAAATACTATTCATCCATAAAAAGAAATGAAGTACTGATATGTGCCCCAATGTGAATGAACCGTAAAAACATTATGCTAAGGGAAAGAAGGCAGTTATAAAAGACCACAGATATTATATGATCCCCTTGATAAGAAATGTCCAGAATGTCCTTCACTTCAATCAGGTCTCTGCTCACGTGCCACTCCTCAGAGAAGTATCCTCTGACCATCTAGCCAAAGTTCCAACCCATTACTCTCATTCCTCCTACCATATTTGATTTATTTTTTCATATCACTCTAATGTTGCTTTCTAGAATTTATTCATTTGGTTTATTGTCTGCCTTTCTCACTAGAACATGGACTCCTTCAGGGAAGGGACTTTGTATCTCAGTAATAGAGCATGGCCTTAGTAGGTGCTATTATAAATAAATGCTTTTAAAATGCATGCATCAGTGATATGTTAGGAGGCAAGATAACTTGGGGGCAGCTGAGGAGACAGATGGTACTATATTCTTGTTCTGACTCTGCCACCTTGGACAAGATAATTCATCTCTCTGAGCCTCCATTCTCTTCATCTACAGGTTGACTGAAACAGGACAATAGAAGATACATCTTAGGGTGGTGTGAGGATTACAAGGTCCTGAGGTGGAGGCTTTCCTTGCTGGCTTTGAGGAACAGCAAAGAGACTAGTGTAGCTGGAGGATGATGAATGAGGGAAACGCTGAAGGAGATGAGGTTGGAGAGGGATGCAGGGCTGATTTCATTCCATGTGTGCTGGAAAATTATTGGGAGGTGGAGAGCAGGGCAATGACATCATTTGATACAATCCCAGCACATTAGAGAAGAATCCTTCTGGCTGCTGTGAGAGCAAGAGAGGAAGCAAAGAGAACAGTTAGGGGCTCATTCAGTGATCCAAGTCAGGGAGAATGGTGGCTAGGACTGGCGTGGTAGCAGTGGCTGGTGTCAACAGGCAGAGTCAAGACATTTTGAAGGTGAGGTCCATAGGATTTGCTGATTGATTATGAGATGGGAAAGAGTGGAATCAAGGATGCTACCAAATTTGTCATTTTGTTTTCTAATCCAAGAAACTTCTGTGATGGGAAACACTGATAATAAGTAGTGTTGGGAAGGAAAGTAAATAGAAGCAAGAATTCAGTTTTCAACACTTAATTTAGTATAGCTATTAGACATCCATGTCATGTAGGTAGCTGGATATAAAAGAGCAAGAGTTAAATGAAGATACCAGGGCTAGAGGAATAGATTTGGAAGAAACCTGAGCATATAGGTAGCATTCAAAATTCATGGGACTGGATGGGATTGATTCATTCATTCAAATAATTATTAAGCCCTTATTTTGTGCTAAGCAGCGTTCTAGGCCCTACAGCAATGAACAATACACACAAAAAATCATACAGTTGGAACTTACATTCTAATGGGGAGAGATAACAAAATAACAAAAATATATAGTATGTTAGTGATCAGTGTTAAAGAGAAAAATAAAACAGGGATGGGTGGGAAGGTTGCAGTTTTAAACAGGATAGCCAGGGAAGTCCTCAGTGGGAAAATGTTATTTTAACTTAAGTCTTGAAGTTGAGGGCATGAGCCATGAATGTACCTGGACTACTAGCATTCCAAGCAGACTACTAGCAACAGCAAATGCAAAGGTGCTGAGGCAGAAGCACGTTCAGCAAATTCACGGAAAAGTAGCTACAGTGACTGCAGAGCAGAGAGCAGGGGTAGAAGGGTGGGAAATGAGGACCGTGAGTTAATGGGCCGGGGCGAGGGCATGACATTGAGGAGGAGCAGCTCCTGCAGGGAGTTGTCCAAAGAGGAGCCTCAACTAGTCGGAGTTCAGTGTGATGTTAGCCCCGCCCCAAGCCCCGCCCCAAGCCCCGCTCCAAGCTCCGCCCAACCCTCCGCCACACTCTGAGATTACATTTCCGTGTTGTGGACGCAACGCCAAGGGCGGGGCTCCGGGACCGGAAGTAGTTTTGCACTCGACTCCATTTTGCTCGCGTGCGTAGTTCCGGTAGCGGCGGCGGGAAGCTGGCTACTGGAGGCCCTGTAGGCCTCCGCACAGGCGAATCCGGCGGGAATCCGAGCCATCAGAACCGCCACCATGGTGAGGAGGCGCAGGATTGCGGCGCGGGAGCTTCCGAGTCTGTTGTTGAAGGGGGGACGGGGACTGATTGACGGGGAGGCCGTGGTTGGCCGCTCATGGCGATGAAGGCCCGGTAACGGCCGCTCTGTCAGGGCACGAAAGACTGGGGACCTTGGTCGTTCGGCGCGTTGGGGGAGGGGCAGGCTGAAACTGAGGGACGGAGGCCGGGGTCGCTCGGTGGGGGCGAGGATGGAATTGCGGCTCTCCACGCCGCTGTAGCTACAGTACTTGGAATCCTATGGGCACTAATTAAACTTGTAGAAGAAATGTGCTCTGGGGTTTCGGAGGAGGCACTAGAGCCGCAGGAGGACTAGGGAAGACCTAGTGAGAGGCTCAGACTTGTGAAGGGAGTGAGGGTCTGAGCAGTTTTGGAAAGAGGTGGAAGGGCTTGTGGCCGAAAGTGGAGTGTTCTTGGATCTAGCAGGTGGCGGAGGGGACGGTAGGGTGAAGGAGAATGTTTGGAGGAGGAGTTGAACTCATTCTTCAGCATATACGTATGTTTGAGTACGTCTGACTTTTCAGGCGCTGGGGTTACACAATGAAATGTTTCCTACACCGAGTTCACTTTCTAGTTGGAGACACGGATACTATAATTCAGAGTGGTAATTCAGCATTAAGTAAAAGTAATGGCGGGGGTCGGGGGTGGTGGGTAGGGGGGTAAGAATGCTGTCAGGAGTAGAGGATTCCCGAACAAGAGTTGTTTACCCAGCAAAAATGAGCGGGGATGTTATAGATAAGAAAGGATGCAAGAGCAAAAGCATGCAAGTTCCTGCAGGGGGAAAGGGAGAAAGAGCTGGAAGATTAGATGGGAGGAATTGGCAGGAGCTTGGTTACTAAAAGCCGTCTTTACATGCTGCTTAATCCTGCTGGTGATGAGGCATGCCATTGAAGGATTTTAACGAGAGCAAAATGACGTGAACTTAAGTAGTGTTTACAAAGATCACTTTTGTTCTGTAGCTGTTAATCTGTTGGGTGAAGTGAAAGCGGGGAAACCTGGTAGGATATTGTTTGGGGGAATTGGGTCTCCCAGCCTCAGTGGCCTCATCTGTAAATTAGGAACAATGGGGCTGATTTTGAGAATCAAATGAGATAGATAGTGCTTATCACAGTTCTTGCTATACAGTGAGCACCCAAGAAGAGTTGGCTGTGCTGGGTGGACCAAAAAAATGTTGCCGTAAAGGTTCAGATCTGTGTGGCCAGAAGCTGTGTGATTACAAGCCAGTTAAAAGGGTCTTCTAAGAGACTGAACCACATAACCTGGGTCTCCAGGGTGGAAGTGAAGGACCTGATCCACACATTTGTGTGGGTTCAGAAACTCGTTCTTGACCAAGCTCACTGAGATGACAGCACACACAGGCCTGGCATGTAGAAGGCACTTGGATAAGTTAGGACTGGCCTACACCAGTCACACTGATGGGAGGCTGATGACACACAGATCAAATGCCAGGTCATTTATTTCTAGAGAGAAATATAATTGTCAAAGGCACCTGACAATTCACATTGTGATGTGTATATTAGTCTATTTTAGCAAAGCTACATTGGAAACCAAGTAATAAAGGTTATTGGGTTAATTAAAAAGTATAGCAAGTTATATATTCTTAAAGACTCTTGTGTTCAAACTGATGGGCACCCTGGTCGCCAGAGAGTTTCCCTCCCAAAGGTAGTTTTGGAGGCACACTAACAAATCCTTGATTTGGGGATTGCATTCTCACCTCCAAGCTGACCAGCTCCTTTCTGATAAGCTTCTGGTTGATTAGATTTTTAATGCCAGTTCCATTCCAGCTCTTTACTCAGTCTTTTTAATGGGATGTGGGTGTTCCACAGCACTGGAGTCACACACCTGTAATCCACAATGGCAGATGACTAACCTCCGGTTTGGATGGATTGGATTAGTTTGGAGACATCCTACACTCACCCCTGAAACAGCCTAAACAAAGGCAATTGTAATAGGAAATGATTCGAAGGGAGGGGGAATAACAGTAGAGGGTAGAGGTCAGGGCTGAACACAGGGTGACATGGGAGAATTCCTGGGAAAGGGCTGTGGCTGCAAGACAAATGATAATCTACTGAGAAAGACAGACACATGGAAAAGAAGGCCGTAGCTGACTTTTGAGGAAGGACTAGGGATATGTGGGTCCAAAAGAGCCGAGTGTCACCCCCGCTGATTTCTCCTTGCAGACGGTGGGCAAGAGCAGCAAGATGCTGCAGCACATCGACTACAGGATGAGGTGCATCCTGCAAGATGGTCGTATCTTCATTGGCACCTTCAAGGCGTTCGACAAGCATATGAATTTGATCCTATGTGACTGCGATGAATTCAGGAAGATCAAGTGAGGAGTGGGCTGTGGGGAGGGATTTGGATTGGAGGGGGGTAGATTGGGTGGGTGGGCCAAGTGACAGGAGGTGATGTAGCTAGCTGGCTCCTGTCAGTTTGCTCTCCTGTTGTAGAGGGCAGATTTAAATGGGGACATTGGTCACTAAGAAATCTTCCTTCGCCCAGCAAGCCTGTTCTGTAGTTGTAGCAGATTACAAGTTGTAAGGAGAGCTGCTAGGCTTTTTGTTTCTCTGACTTCTCGTGCCCCTGGGTACTGGGGTAAAGGGCTCTCATGTTCTCCCCACAGGTGTGTGAGGGGGGAGAGCTTGGTTTTCTGGCCTCATTGCCTATTTGTAAAGCTGTAGCCTTTCCCAATGCAGCCTGGTCTGAAACTGCTTTAAGAAGCCTCTGACCCTCTTCAGGGTAAGTGCTCAGCTCCCTGTGTGGGTTTGGGACCAGTGATTTTTGTTGGCATTTATAGAAACAATTGGAGATATTTCCTGCTTTCCTACCGTTTCATAAGTTATTGGATAACTATCTTGTCTTAAGACTCACAGATCTTAAGCTTCTGGCCTATTAAAATACGTGGTCTAGCTTTTTGTCATATTTTATATTCAACTCATCTTGAGGGCAAAAGGTTATGTGACTTTCATGGTCACTCGGCAATTTTGCTATGCGCAGTGTCCGTGTTATCTTGTCAGCAGTTGTGAATTCCCTTTGATTCCTTTTGGGGCTGTTGTTTTCTTTTTGGCATGAGGTCTAGAAATACAGGACAAAAAAGGTGGTAGGGATGGCTGAGTGCCAGGTGTACACATTAGAGAGAGGTAGAACTATTTCAAACGGTTTTCTTTTTTCTAAATTTAAATCAAACTGTATTGTGATAATAAAAAAATGTTTAGGAAGTATTTTTTTAAAATACAAAAAAATATATGCAAAAAATGCCCAGAAAGGTTTTGTTTTAATTATGAAAGGGCAATATATGTTTTTATTAAAAAGGAAGAAAATATTTATAAGCTAAAAAGAGAAAGGAAAAACTTTCCACCCACTGAAAACCACTGTTAATTTTATTTTATTTTATTTTATTTTTTTAATTAAAGCTTATTTGGGTGACAGTTGTTAGTAAAGTTACATAGGTTTCTGGTGTACAATCTATATATCACATTGTGTAAACCACTATTAATGAAAAAACAGTATTAAAATGAAATCTTTAAGGTTTTTAAAATCAGGTATTTTATCTTCATTTTTAGGATACAGGCTTTTTCTTTCCTCTTCCTACCTTGTTATTTTTCCCAGTTTGCATTCATATTTGGTTTATCCTTTTCTGGATGTGGATGTTTGGAGATTTTTGTTTTTGTGCTTTGAGGACAGAAGTAGTTCTGGTGTAGTTACTCTTACCTTTTCCTTCATGGCTTCTCTTTCTGATTGAGGTGAAGGATGGAATGGTAGGCCTGTGAAGTTGAATTGCTACTAAAAGGATCCTGCATGTAAGTGGGGTGAGTGGGATTCAGTTGACTTGAATGGTCTCAGCTGCCTCCTGACACTGGTGAGGCATTAAGCTGAAGAAAGGAGGGAACAGGGTGATAGATAGCACAGAACACTTGAGGAGGAAAGGCCTTCACGATTGCTACAGAATAACATTTGAGCCAGGGCTGGGCTTTTTTGACTCTTGTCTTATCTCTTGGTCTGTGCATCATCTTGGCATAGGAAATGACCAGTTCAGGGGTTACAGATTAAACCTGTGAAGACTATCTAGGGGAGCTGTTTTAGGGAAAGTTTATGTACCATTTGTCAGGATACAGAGTGTAAAACAAATCTTGAAGGCCCCTAGGTAGGTGAACATTAACTTTACCCTTGTTCTAATGCTTGCTTTTTTGTTTCTTTTCCTAAACCTGTCTTTAGGCCAAAGAACTCAAAACAGGCAGAGAGAGAAGAGAAGCGAGTCCTCGGTCTGGTGCTGCTTCGTGGGGAGAACCTGGTCTCAATGACAGTAGAGGGACCTCCTCCCAAAGATGTAAGAGCTAGGAAGTCTTGTGAAAAAAAGAGCTTACCATGAACCAGGCTGTGTTAGGTTCTCTGTGTTTCATTGTAATACTCACAGGCAATCTCTGGCTTTGCCCCTCTTTTGCAGATAATAAACAGACTCTTAAAGAAGTTGCCCTGCAAGTAACAAGTGGAGATAGGGAACTAGCATGAGGATTTCTAACTTTAAAGCCCTCTCTTCTTCCTCAGTTGATGTATAATACATAGTGAGTCAGTAGAAAAGGAACCTAAGGGTCATCTGGGGCAGTGCTTAATGTGGTGACAGCCTAGCTGGATTTGAAAAAGTTGTGACTTCCAACAGTACAATATGTATGTATTTTGTGCAGTTATAGAATAGTAGTTAACATTTATTGAGCATCTGCTGTGTGCCAAGCACCTTAGTATTTAATCCTTGTAACCATCCTTTGAATTAAATTATTCCTACTTTATAGATAAACTGGGTTTTAGTAACTTGCCCAAGATGTCACATCTAGTAAGTGGTGACATTGGCATTTAATCCCAGGCATTCTTGGTTTCTAAACCTACATTTAGAAATAGAGCAGGCTTTAGAGAATCTAATGAAAAAATGTTTTGGTTTTCCCTTTTTCATTTTAAGACATTTTTCATCAAAGAAATAATCCTCTTATCCTGTTTTTATTTTTGTCCACTTGTATATCTGTTTTTGTATATTTAACACATGATATGCATGTAATATTTTGTTCTACTTTTTCACTTAACATGGTAAATGTTTTTCTACTTGCTATATACAAGTAATGTTTTAATGACCAAAGATTTTCTCACAAGTGAGTACAGAGTAGTTTATCCTAGTCGTTTCTTTGTTTTTGGACTTCATTTGAAGCTTTTTCCAATATAAATGTCTGCAAGGGATGTTTACCATATTTTTTGTTTCAAAGCATGTGTATGTATTCATAATGCTTGGTATCTAGTTCCAGTAGAGCTTGCTCTTCTAATGTAGCCCTTTATAAACCTTCATGACCACAACCATTTTTGTTATAATCCCACCGTTTGCATATGAGGAAACAGTCCCAGAATTGTGGGATTACTTGCCCACTGTCACCTACCAAGTGAGAATCAGCTGGGACTGGACCTCATGTTTCTTTGATGCCAGGCCAAATGCTCTTATCTATTGGTTTAATTTTTATAGGAGTACACATAGGTGGTTGTGCCGTGGCATGTTTCTCTGTCTCTAAACTTACCCTTGAGCTCCTCTAGCCTGCTGCAGGGGTGACAGCTAGGCACATAATCCTGGATGGAGGAGGAAAAGTGTTAACCACATATGGGTGGGTAGCATCTGTAAGTTGTTTTGGTGCCCTTTAAATCTGAGGGGTTCTCTTGGCAGTGGTATTCCAAAGTATATATCTGATTCTCTAGGCCACAAACATTTTAGCACGTTTCTTTATTTTTCAGACTGGTATTGCCCGAGTGCCACTTGCTGGAGCTGCTGGGGGCCCAGGGATTGGCAGGGCTGCTGGCAGAGGAATCCCAGCTGGTGTTCCCATGCC